GCCTCTCACAATGGGAAAACTCTTAAACTCTTGTGTTTGTCCTACTAGGAGCAAGAAAATAACAAAGAACTGCCCCAAATCTCATCCTCCCAGGAAAAAAACTGTCCCTGCCACTCTTCCTCCTTTCAGGAGAGGCAGGAAACACCAGATTTCCACCCCCTCCCTTCCCTCTGTCCCATCACTGATGTGCAGCAGCTGCTCCCTCCCTTGGTTTGTCCCCTCTGGTCACCCTCAGGCACCTGGTGCTGCTGAGATCCAGGATTCTGCTCCAAAACCATCCCACAGCATCTGCCGAGTGCATCCCCCAGGCATCTCGCTGGCTCCTGCCCTGCCTCACCAGCCACCCCCGGGCACTGGTGGCTGTGCCAGGGCCATCAGGGGCTGCTGTCCTGGGCTGCAGGGGCCCAGCTGTGACCAGTGCTGTGCCAGCTGCCAGTGGCCCTCATGCCTCAGGTTTCAGCTTTTCTATTTTTCAGGATCTGTGCTGGATCTGTGTGGGTCTGGGTTCATATTATGGGATGGTGAGCTCTCTGCACAGAGCATGGAGACAAAACAATTCCTGCTCCAGCTGGGGACCAAGGACAAATGATCCAAATCTCAGCCCAAGAGCACAAACAACGTGGGCTGAAGAGAGAAAAACAAGCAGGATGGGACTGCATGGGCTAAAGCTGTAACTGGACAATTAACTCCAATATGCAAATGGAGCAGAACTGATAAAAGTGAGAGACCCGTGAGCGGTCGTGCATTTTGTGCCCATTTTGGGTTCACCTGGGTGCAGCCCTGGCTGGGCTCTTGTGCTGCCACGTGACAGGGGCTGTGGCACTGCCAGGGGTGACCTGCACACAGCCAGAGGTGGGGCAGCTCCGAGGGATCCCACGGGGAAGCAACAGGAGCACCCCCAGGGCTTCTCCTGCTGCCTGCTGGGCACTGGTTCCCTCACACACCTCCAGTAGGGAAGCAGCAGGAGCAGGGCCAGCCCTGGCACCCCCAGGGCTTCTCCTGCTGCCTGCTGGGCACTGGTTCCCTCACACACCTCCAGTGCCTCCCTGCTGGGGCTGCTGCCACCCCTGCCACCACCAGCACGGTGCCAGGCTGGCACAGCCGCTGTCCCTGCAGCTTCCTGCCCCTGGCTGAGTCCCCTCAGGACATCTGGGGCCTGGCACAGATGGAAGTCAATGGTGCTCTTGGTCCCTGTGATTCCCTGGGGAATGAGAGACCCCCAGTGCTGACAGAGGAAGTGGTGGCATCCAACACAGCATGGTGGAAACGGGGATCCCTTCCCAGGGGAGGATCCTGCTGTGCTCAGGGTCTGCCTGCATTTCCTGTTCCTGCACCGTGTGTTTGTTTAACATGGACAGGGAGCCAGGGAGCAGGCATGGGATTGTGGGCAACTCCATTCCCAACTTATTCCCTCCAAAACCAGGTCTTACCATCATATTTTATGAAAAATCTCTTTGCCCAGGATTCTTCTCCTGGGAAGCTGAGAGGCCTCAGAGAAAAATATAAATAATAATTATCTGATTTGCTTCTCCTGTTTTGCTGCTTTGGAATGTGGTGACTGTTTCATTGGTTTCATGTGAATTGTTTTTACTTAATGACCAATCATGGTCCAGCTGTGTCAGGACTCTGGAGAGTCACAAGTTTTCTTTATAATTCTTGTTAAGCCATTTGATGTATCCTTTCTCTATTCTTGTATAGTTTCAGTATAGTACTCTTTAATATAATATAATATCATAATATAATAAATTAGCCTTCTAAAAACATGGACTCAGATTAATCAATTCCTCCTCTGTTCCTGGGGACCCCAGAAACTACCAAAACCAGGTTCCTGCTTGTTTTCTCTCCCTCCAGTGGGATGAGTGTCTTAGGTTGCAAGATGTAGCTGGGTTTGTGCATTCTATTTGTTTTCTGTTTGTACTGTTGTGTTTGTATTTTTAATTTCCCTAATAAAAATCTGTTATTCTTGTTCCCATATATTTGCCTGAGAGCCTTTTATTTTCAAAATTATAATAATTGAGAGGGAGGGTGTTTACATTTTCAATTTCAAGGAAATGCTTTCCTTAGCAGACACCTGTCTGTTCAAACCAAGACAATGAGGCACAAAATTCCTCCCTGTGGAGGACTGGGAGAACAAATCCCCCATCCCCAAAACTCAGCCCAGCCACACTTGCTCATCCCAGCCCTGCAAGCTGCAGGTGCAGACGGAGCTTCCCAGGTTTGCAGCATCCATCTCTGCAGTGCCTCTGGCAGAGCAGGCAGCTCCTGAATATTTGATTTGGTTATTAGCCCAGGACATCGTCCATCTGAGGGAGGCAGGAGTGCTGATCCAGGCAGGGAATGCTGATTCCTGACCTGGCTGCTCCCCATGCTGGGGACTGTGGCTTCCCCTGGCATGTTCTGCACTGCTGCACTCCCAGATTCCCTGTTTTCCTCATGTGTACATCCCATAATTTGTCCCATATGGCCAGGCATGGTGTGTCCATGTGTTGTGGAGCAGGGACATCTGCTCTGAGTGTGGCAGGGCCAGGAGCAACAACCTGAGTGCCACAAACCTGCTGTGGGGACAAACACCAACAGGAATGTGAAGAAACCATCCCAGAACCTCCACCCAAATATCTGCTGGCCAAATTCTGTGAGGCTGGAGCCATCTGCACCCTGGCTGTGAGCAAACACTCCCAGTAGTGGGGGATCCTGGCCTTTTCCAGGGTGTAAAAGCCAATCCCCTGGACACTGCCAGGGATCCAGGGGCAGCCACAGCTGCTCTGGGCACCCTGTGCCAGGGCCTGCCCACCCTCACAGGCAACAATTCCTAATTCCCAATATCCCATCCAGCCCTGCCCTCTGGCAGTGGGAGCCATTCCCTGTGTCCTGTCCCTCCAGCCCTTGTCAATTGTCTCTCTCCATGTTCCCTGGGGCTCCTTCAGGCCCTGCAAGGCCACACTGAGGTCACCCCAAAGCTTCTCCTCTCCAGGTGAACATTCCCAGCTGTGCCAGCCTTTCCTGCCAGCAGAGCTGCTCCATCCCTGTGCCCATCCTGGAGCCTCCTCTGGCCTGGCTCCAGCAGCTGCAGCTCCTCCCTGTGCTGGGCCAGGCTGGGGCAGCTCTGCAGGTGGGGTCCCACCTGAGCACAGGGGCACAGGGGTGGGATCAGCCCTGGGTTCAGGTGGTTTCTCACTTTTATTCCCAGCTGGATCTTTCCAGCTTGCTTTCTTCCCTGGCCACATTTTTGCCTGCTGTAGTCAGAATTCCAGAATGCCCCCAGAATGGGATGGCAGAGAAGTGGCAGCAGCATCCAGCCCATCACAGCTGGGAGCTGGGCTGAGGTGCGAGAGGTGGGGGAGATGGGGAGCCAGGCTGAGGTAGAAGAGGCAGGACAGGCAGGGTGCAGTCTCAGGGGTACAACAACCCCTCCTCTGGCTCCAAGTCTCCAAGTGCTTCCAGAAGCAGGCAGAGCTGCTGGATGGGGCACAGCTGTTGGGAAGCAGAGGTACCTCTGTGCTGCCAAGGCCGGGATGCTCCAGAACATCCCAACATCCCAGCTGAGCCCAGCCCCTGCTGCTGCTGAGCGAGGCTGTGCCCGGGGTTCATCACTATGGAAATCACATTCCCTTTAGCTGCCTTCCAGGATAATCAGTATTAAAGGGAAACTATTTTCTAGTTCATTAGAGGAAAGCTGCGTCCCCATGGCTGCTGCTGTCGGCACCTCCTTCCCCTTTGGAGAAACCAGCTCCCAGCACGGAGACATCCACACTCCAAGTGTCACCAGGGCAAAGGGCCCTGTCCCCGAGGGCTGCCCTTCCTCCTGCTCACCTGCCGTCCTCCAGGAGGGCTTGGGTGACCCCCTTCCCTTGGATCATCCCCACCAGCCCTCACCCCACAGGCTCTGGACTCCTTCCCTCCTTTCCTTCCATGTACTCCCAGCTCTGAGTCCTTGTTCTGGGGTAATCCAGGGAATGTCTGCTGCTTGGGAGCAGCCCTGACAGCCGGGATCTCCTCATGCCAATGGCTCTGCCAGAGCCTTTTCCTCTCAGCAGGATGCTCTGAGGTTCCCTCCTGGCTGGGACTGTGCTCCCCATCTCCCAGACAAAAGGAGAATGAGGATTAGGCCTGATTCCCTTCCAGGGACATCTCTGTGGATTTCCCACCCCGTTTTTCCCTAGGATTTTCCTCAGCCACAACATCCCTGAGTCCATCTCATCAATTCCTTCCTTCCTTCCTTCCTTCCTTCCTTCCTTCCTTCCTTCCTCCCTCTTTTCTTTCTTTTCTTTTTCCCACAGGAATGGTTTCCTTTGGAGAGCAGTGTTCCTGCTCTGTCACACTGTCTGTTTTATAGCTAATGCCAACCATTTACATACAATTATTTTATGGAGGAGAGACTGACAAAACTGAGGTTAGTCTTTGGTGATGGTATGACTACAGCATTTAAACCAGATTAACTGTTCAAATAAAATTTAAGTGTGGTGACTTAATGGGCAGAGAAGGAAACATAGGTTTTAATTATGGGGGCACTTAACCAAGAATTTGATGAAAAGAAGCCACTTGATCTTACTGGTATTGTTTTTCCACTCAGTGAATCAGACTTCTTATTTGTGATTCCTTCTGGATTTCTTCTGGAGCTGATGCTCAGCCCCAGTGTTTTGGGGGTCAGCAGCTCCAGCAGGAGCTTGTACACTGATGTGGTCAGCAAATACAGCCAAAGCAGAGCTCAGCCATGGCTCTTACACAGCAGTGATGGGAGTTGTCATCTCAGTAAAGTTACAGGAGAGAATATTGTAATGCAGGTAAAAATGCAATATTCTGAGGAATCTAAGACATTATTTTGTTTGGGGTTTGGGTGGGGTTTTTTGCTGCTTTGGTTTTGTCATGTTTTGCTTTTTGTATAGAAACCCTATGGAGCAGTTAAAGCTTCTCTCTGCCTTTGAGGAGTGATGGTGTAGAAGGAGAGTTTTTTGTGGAGGACACAGAGGAATCAGAGTGGGGAGGCACAAGCTGTTTTCAGATGATGTGGTCACACACCAATTAACACCACCTGTCCCCTGGAGCTGACTTATCAAGGTAAGACTTATTTCCCATTCTGCTCCTTTTGCACTTTTTAGTCCTCTACTCTTTAAAAGAAAAAAAAAAGGGAAAAACATATCAATATTGAGGTCCATACATACCTGCTCCACCACCAACACTTAGAACATTGATTGTAGACTTCCCATTTCCAATACTGAAAAACATTATTTAATTATTTATACATTTTAGGACAGTTGTCCACTAGAGAGGGTTCCATGCATGATGTGAGACATTAGAGATCCCATTAAGATTAAAATTTGCAGGCCAAACCCCAAATGTAGTGTGTGTGTACACAGGCATGCCTGCGAGTTGGCAGGAGGGATCAGATTCAGAACTCTTCCCCTTTCGACATTCATGATTTCCAATTATTTTGGCAATTTTTAGAGGTGGCATTTTTCTTTTATTATGAGGGAATATAAGCAGAAGCAAGTACATGCCTTATCTGTGTCTGTGCTCTGAGGAACAGAGCCCTCTGGGTCTGGACCAACAGCTTCAAAATTATTTGTAGAAGTTTTGCATTATGCAAAATGGGGAGGGAGAGAGCAGAGTGTAATGCTCCTAAAATCCCTGAGTGAGGCTTTGGCAGAGCCATGAAGCCCTGAGCCCTGAGAAGAGCCTCCCCAGAGCCAGGATTTGATGCTGGCTGCCTGCTCCCAAGCAGTCCAGCAAAGGACACACACTGGCAGGCAAAGCAGGAGCACGATCCAGCCATCCTAGAGAAACCCTAAATACTACCTGAAAAGCTTGCTTTTAAAAAGCTGCTTTCCATCAAGTTTGATGCTAGAATGTAGTATCTGTTACAGCATTTCAGAGCTGATGCAGGGCCAGCTGTGCTTGTGTGCAGGGAAACAATGCAGCCTTATCTGCTCCTGGCTAGGCAGCCCCATCCCAGCGAGCCACCATCCAGAGCCATGGGTGTGTGCAAATGGAACCTCCAGCCAAGCCCTGTCACAGACCAACAGACAGGACTGGGAACAGCAATCTGCCTGTCCCAGGCAGCCCCACGAGCCCAGCACCCCCGTGGGGCGGTGGCCCTGGCTGTCCTTCAGCCCACCTCGGTGTTACCTGGCTATGACATCTGGCAGGTGCCTCTCCACAAAGTCCTGCATGCTCTGGTGCTCAGTGGAGTTCTCCAGGAAGAGGCGGAATGACTGGACATATCTGTCAAGATCAGCCAGCAAACTCCTCATGGGTGAAGCCATGCTGGGAGGGGACAGGCTGCTCCCTGCAGCTCTGCTCTCAGGGCTAGAGAAGGAATGAAAAGTGCTGGAGGGGAAAATCCAGCCTGCACCTGGACTTTGCCCATCCTGGAGCCTCCTCTGGCCTGGCTCCAGCAGCTGCAGCTCCTCCCTGTCCTGGGCCAGGCTGGGGCAGCTCTGCAGGTGGGGTCCCACCTGAGCACAGGGGCACAGGGGTGGGATCAGCCCTGGGTTCAGGTGGTTTCTCACTTTTATTCCCAGCTGGATCTTTCCAGCTTGCTTTCTTCCCTGGCCACATTTTTGCCTGCTGTAGTCAGAATTCCAGAATGCCCCCAGAATGGGATGGCAGAGAAGTGGCAGCAGCATCCAGCCCATCACAGCTGGGAGCTGGGCTGAGGTGCGAGAGGTGGGGGAGATGGGGAGCCAGGCTGAGGTAGAAGAGGCAGGACAGGCAGGGTGCAGTCTCAGGGGTACAACAACCCCTCCTCTGGCTCCAAGTCTCCAAGTGCTTCCAGAAGCAGGCAGAGCTGCTGGATGGGGCACAGCTGTTGGGAAGCAGAGGTACCTCTGTGCTGCCAAGGCCGGGATGCTCCAGAACATCCCAACATCCCAGCTGAGCCCAGCCCCTGCTGCTGCTGAGCGAGGCTGTGCCCGGGGTTCATCACTATGGAAATCACATTCCCTTTAGCTGCCTTCCAGGATAATCAGTATTAAAGGGAAACTATTTTCTAGTTCATTAGAGGAAAGCTGCGTCCCCATGGCTGCTGCTGTCGGCACCTCCTTCCCCTTTGGAGAAACCAGCTCCCAGCACAGAGACATCCACACTCCAAGTGTCACCAGGGCAAAGGGCCCTGTCCCCGAGGGCTGCCCTTCCTCCTGCTCACCTGCCGTCCTCCAGGAGGGTTTGGGTGACCCCCTTCCCTTGGATCATCCCCACCAGCCCTCACCCCACAGGCTCTGGACTCCTTCCCTCCTTTCCCCTCCCTCCCTCCCTCCCTCCCTGGGAAAAGGATGTGACATGAAGGGACCTCAGCACTGACCATGGACTTTGGAATTTCAGGTTGGTTTTCCACTTTCACATAACAACAGTGAGTGACTGAGGGAGTGAACTACCAGCAAACCCCAGGAATTTTCACCTTTTGGGGTTAAAAATAGTCTCAAACAAATTCCAGCAGAGGATGATAAAAGATCCTTGCTCAAGTCCAGGGTGGATGGAGAATCCCAGCACAAGAGGATATCCAGATGCCTCTGCCTTTGGGTGATCCCAGAACTGGGACTGCCATGAACAGGGACAACACACAGGAGCTCCTGGAAGAATGAATTAGCACCTTTTCCCTAAACGTTTACTGTGCTGGAGATTCCATGGGGAGAGGGCAGGCTGGGCTTTCCCTACGTGGGGCCAGGCCAGTCACCTCCAGGGGGATGAGGCTGAATTCCCTCAGGATGATCATCCAGCTCCAAGAGCACAGCCCCAGCTCAGCCCCCAGCGCTGCGGAAAACAGTTGGGATTTGTGGGATCTGCGAGACAACCATGGTGTCCCAACCCTGCAGCTGCATCCCAGCCCTCTGCCATCCACAGGATCCCAAATCTCTGTGCCAGGCATCCCACAGGAGCCTCCTTCCTGGAGCAGCCAACCCTCATTGACCATGGAGCCAGGCCTGGGGAATCACACGGATATGGAAACCACTCCAGCCCAGCACAGAGGGCAGGGACACGCAGGCCTGGATGCAGAATTAGGAGTGGCTTTTCTGGGAATGGTTTCACTGAATATCCATTAGGAATGGCTGCTGAGAGGGGAGGGGAGGGGAAAGGAAGGAAGGAAGGAAGGAACTGAGGAATTTTGTGTCCTTCTGGTGGAATCCCAGTGGGAAGAGGCAAGGAAAAACTTGGACATAGGGCAGGATGTGTGTGTTGTGGCAACCCCGGCATGCACCAGGAATGGCTTCAGAGCAAGGAAGGGATTGTGGAGGTGCTGTCCACAGGAAGGTGCTGTCAGGATAAAAGGGAGATTGGAGAGAGCTGAAATGAACATCTTAGCAAAAAAACCCCAATTCTGTGGGAAGAAGCACCAAATCCCCACCCCTGGCAGCTCCTTCCCAGCAGTTCCAAGCAGGGAAAGGCTCCAGCCGCAGCCAGGATGAACTCCAGTCCTGCAGGGCTGCCAAGGCTTGGCCTTTCGGAGCTTTTTCCTCTCTGGCTCATGGCTGTGGCCAGGGGATTGCTTGGCAAAGAGGCCAGGCCTGGCAGATGATCCCATAATCAGTGGGATAAGCTGAACCCAAAGCCCTGTTCCCACCTCACCTCATAATTGCTTTTGTTCCCGGCCCACCAGGGAAGAGCCAGGCTTGGTGCTGCAGTGCCCTTTTCAAAGATTCAGCCTGAATTGGCAGGCAGGGTGTGCAGATGTGGGTGGGCTCAGAGGAAGGGTTTACCCACCCTCCCTGAAGCAGCCGGGATGGCTCTGCAGGCACTGGGAGAAGCTTGGAGCACGTCCTGGTGAACGGCAGCCTCTGCTCCCAGGGACACAAACTCTGCTGCCAATCAAAGAGAAGGGTTTTTTCCAGCTGTTCCCAGCTTTTTTCCAGCCCAAGAGGTGTTTTGGGATGTTCGATCTTGGGAAGAGGTGGAGGTGAGGGAAGATGGGACAAAGCTGCTGCAGTCTGAGCCCAGGGATGGAGCTGGAGTGACACTGCTGGTGGCAGTGGGGCTGTCACTGCACAGACAAAGCCACCTCTGACCTACCCTGAGGGCTGCCACAGGGAGAGCAGGAATGCTCTGCTCCCTGTGGGTGCTCAGGCATGCCCAGCTTGTGGGTCAGGCCTAAAGAATCCCAGGATCACTGAGGTGGGAAAAGACCTCCAGGATCATGGAGTCCCAATCCCCGCCTTGTCCCCAGCCCAGGAAGAATCCCAGGATCACCGAGGTCGGAAAAGACCTCCAGGATCATGGAGTCCCAATCCCCACCTTGTCCCCAGCCCAGAGCATTCCCTGCCACCTCCAGGGACACCTCCAGGGATGGGCACTCCAAACCCCCCTGGGCAGCTCCTCCCAATCCCTGAGCACCCTTTCCACGGGGAAATTCCTGCTGTGCCCACCGTGAGCCTGCCCTGGCCCAGCCTGAGGCCGTTCCCTCTCCTCCTGTCCCTGTTCCCTGGAGCACAGCCCGACCCCCCGGCTGTCCCCTCCTGTCAGGAGCTGTGCAGAGCCACAAGGTCCCCCCTGAGCCTCCTTTTCTCCAGGCTGAGCCCCTTCCCAGCTCCGTTCCCTGCCCTGGACACGCTCCAGCCCCTCCAGGGCTCTCTGGCCATGAGGGCCAGAACAGGACACAGCCCTGGAGGTGCCCCAGCAGGGCCAGCACAGGGGACCATGGGCACCCAACAGGTCCAGAAGGAACTTGGAAGAGGAGAAGAAAGAGCAGCCTGAACCCTCTCATCAGGCAGAGCTGAAATCCACTGGGACCGGGATAAGGAGCTGGAGAAGGTGGAAATCAGGGGCTCAAGGCAGCTGAGCAGCAGCTTCTGCACCGACAGCAGCGGGGCTGGGAGCACTTGAGGGCTGAACGCTCCTTGGGAAGAGTGGACTAATTTTGAAATTCCATTGAACAAAAGTGAGGAGTGCTCCACTCGACATCCAGAGCTGCTGGTGAGAGGGAGCTGTGATGGGAGCACGTGGAACAAGGTGAATCCATCAAGGAGTTTGCAGCTCATCTTCATTAGGGCTGAAGAGGCAATTTTGTAATTAGGGGTGAGAGCTGTGAATCTGATTGTGATCCGGGACAGAAATTGGGGCCGGGGCTGCCAGGGAGGCCCTGGGTGAGCTCTCTCCACTGCAATTACCCTGTGCTCATCCAAGGAAACCTCTCTGGCTGCCCTGAAGGGTACAGAGGACTGGCACGGCTTGGGCATGGCGGGCACGGCAGAGAATTCCAAGTGGCACAAGAGGGATGGGGAGACAGGAAAACCCCCAGACAGCGACAGGCAGGGCAGGAATGCAGAGAAGGGACAAACCCTCAGCACATCCCCTGGCTTTATTTGTGCCCCCTGGAGAGGAGAAGGGACAGAAGGCCAGGAATTGTCAGGATTTTTCAGGAGAGAAGGAAAGGGAAGGACTGCTGAGAGGGATGAGAACATCTAGGTAAAAACATGGAAGGAATAAATGGGTGTGTGCTGGATCTGATGTTTAAAAAGATGGTGCCAAGGTTAAGGTTACCTGCAAGGAACAAGAGCTCTGCAGCCCACCCAGACCTCGCTCTGGTGGCACTGTCTCCATCCAGGATTGTCCTCTGGATCCCAAAGCATTCCCTGCACCATGGGAGAGGCTGCAGTGAAGTTCTGTGCCCTTGAGTGACGGCTGCCCAGCCATCTCCAGCACAGCTTAATTTGATAAGAACCCTGAGCCACTTTAAACACTTCAATCATGGCACCTCTTAATCATCTCCTTGCCGAACAAAATAATCCCACTTTGCTTAATCTCTTCTCCTGTGGAAATCCTGTCACTCCTTTATTGTCTAAATGACTTTACAGGGCTCTGTCTCCAACACAAAAATATCTGACTTCCCAGGAAGCCACAAAAACAGGACATTGCTCCCCGTGGGGTCTGAGCAGCTCCCTGGGCACCTCAGGAAGGGACAAAACCTTCCCAGCACCCACGGAGTCACCTGGATCCAGTGAGACCCTCAGTGATGCTCATGTGTCTCCTGCATCCTCAGTGTCCCTGGCATGTGGGATGGGGATGGTTGGGAATAATTTGGGAAACCGATATGGATTTGGGTTTGGTTTTGGGGTTTTTGTGGTGCTGGGCCTGCAGACGAGAGGGAACTGAGGGCAGAGGACCAGCAGTGACAAGATGGGACATCCCTGCTGTACAGAGGGATGGGACTCCAGGGGTGCTGCAGATCCCAACAAAACCACATTTCCGTGGAGATCTTCCCAGGAGGGCCCAGCAAATCCAGTTTCTCCCCTGTCTGATCCACAAAATGCCCTACACAGCTGACACTGGCACTTGGCTTCCTGCCCTCGGAGAAGCTGAGGCAGAAGATTCCAAATCAAGGATTGTCAGGATGTCCTGGCTGCACTCCCAATTTTTCTCTGCAGCT